TGCTTTAGAACGTTTCCAGTTTGGATGCTGTCTTCTTCCCTGTCGTCGCCAGTGGGGTTTCTTCACAGAAGGGGTGTTCATTCCTAGGCTTGCTCCGAGCGCGTGCCCACAGTCCCCCTCCACCCTCGCTTCGGGCTGCAATATTTAGGTGTGCCTGTAAAGTGGCCCTTGAAGTGATAAGCAGGCACACAGGCAATGCTCCCTCTCAGCTGTGGAGTCTCGCGAGCAAAAAATTCTACTTTGTGAGCTACTGGCATTAAAGTTGTGAGCGAGCGATTTGGCTGCTGCATAAAGTTAGTTTGCTCTGGAGCCCTCCTTCCTGAGCGAAGACAAAGATGTGTGAGCCGGAGGCTAAAAAACTGTGAGCCAGCTCACACTCACTCAGCTTAGAGGGAACGCTGCTCACAGCGCCCCTTGCATCGTCGCAGAGATTGTGCAGCGCAAGCAGGGAACACGTGCAGCCCGTGTGCAACGTGAGAGCTTTTTCTGGGGTCCTCTGTGAAGCGGCAGGACGTTCGGGGGCTCACCGGCCACAGCCGTGTGGGCAGGTAAATGGGCCCATTTTAATTTTTCGTTTGCTTACTTCCTTTTGCATTTGTACACGCACATGTGCATATATGTATTTATATCCTGCTTCCCTCCCCCTACCTGAGACTCAAAGTGGCTTTTAGAACACCGGTCTCCCCTCCTCACATTCTCTCTCCTCAACAACCCTGCGAGGTAGGCTGGGCCGAGAATTTGTGATGGGCCCGAGGCCACCCTGTCAGCTTCCATGGTCGCAGAGGGGATTTGAACCCGGGCCTCCCAGGGTCCTACGTCCACCCCTCTATCCATTATACCATACCGGCTCTCATTTCCTTTCCTCATTTCCATCAGCCTAAGTCCCATTTGGGAGTGCCAGTTTCCTAGACCGGTCCTGGCTCTTTCAGTCCCCACCACATGCAGCTGCTGGTGTGACCTTGGGACAGTCACAAGTTCTCTCGGAGCTGTTCTCTCTCGAGCAGTTCTCAAGAGAGCTCTCTCAGCCCCACCTACCTCACAGACCGTCTGTTGCGGGGAGGGGGAGGGAAAGGGGATTGTAAGCCGCTCTGAGACCCCTTCGGGTGGTGAAGGGTGGGGTAGAAATCCAATCTCTTCTCCTTCTGCCCTCTTGTCTCTTCCAGATCCAGCGACTCCAAGCCCTCCTGGTGAAGGCCAAGTCGACGGAACGGAAGTACGTTTATTTCCTCGTGGCCGTGTGCACGTGTATAAGTTTTTGGGGTCTAATATATGCACTTCACTAGCCAGACAGTAAAAAAAGTATACAAATGTCATCCTTTAGATGTTTTGGGAGTTTGTTTATGATCTGTAGCCCACCTTTGTTGCAGAGACTCGAAGGGATGCGGGAGAAATTGCCTTTCCTTATTGGGAAACTCCTGTAGACGAAGGGTTCTCTAGAAAGAACCCGGTAAAGGCTACCGGTGCTCAGGGAACTCCTGAGAACATCTAGACTGTGTCCTCCCTTACACACACTTAATTACCTTCGCTGTATCTGTTCTAGTCCCCTGCCTATTTTATTTTATTTTTGTTTTGTTAGTTAAATTTTATGTCCTGCCCTTCCCTAAACGGGTCTCAGGGTGGGTAACAACAAAGTGCAAGAACAATTAAAACTTGGTAATATAATTCATTCTTAGAACATCTAAAACGCCAAACAGTTAAAAGACGGCGAATGAAATACAATTAAATGCCTCTGTTATTTTTCAAGAGGTTCCTCCTCTTTGGGCGAAGGGTATCGACAGCCGAGTTTAAAATGTTAGGCTATCCTCTGCATACAATGAAACCCATGTGTGTGAAATGAAGACAGTGGCTTCTTTAAGGCTACAGCCCCCCTATCTAAAACCGCACCCCAAAGCTGCTCGGCAAAGCTAAACACAGTACGCACCCGGCTTCCTCTCTCTAAGCTCGCCCTCATCGCAGTCCGAACGTGTGTGCTTCTATCTCCATGCCACACACCCCAAACTTCCTCAGAACTGTGGCCAGAGCAAACCCACCTCCGTGGTTAGCCGCCTTGGCCCCAGCCAGACTGAGAAGGGAAGGGGGCCCGTGGGATGGCCTCGGGGAGGCCTCCCGACCAGGGGTTCAAGTTCAGCCCCAGCGGCACACACTGTTGGTTGAGTCGAGCAGCCCCCAGTTGACAGCGGGGAACAGGGTCCGCGGTCCCAAGGGGGGTGGGAAGGGCCGTCATGTCGCAGCGGACTTCCGGCGACCCCTCGTGAGGTTTTCAAGGCATTCGGAGGCGGTCGTGCCCTCGCCTGCCTCCGCATCACAACCCCGGAGGGTCTCCCATCCAAACACTAGCCAGGGCCGACCCTGCTTAGCTTCTGAGAGCTGAGGAGCTCGGGCCAGCCTGGGCCACCCAGGCCAGGGCTGCAGTCCCAGACACCGTGAATTAATTGCTGGTGAAAGGATGCCGCCGTGGGATGGGCTGCTTAATGCAGAGACACATATGTGGCTGATTTTGCAGAAGTCAGAATCAAGATGATCTGTTTTGAAAGTGGAATATGCTTTGTCTCTTTCTCTCTGTCTCTTTCTTTTGCTCTCTTTCTCTTTTTCTCTCTTTCTTTCTCTTTCTCTCTCTCTCTCTCTCTCTTTCTCTCTCTTTCACTCTTTCTCTCTCTTTCTCTTTCTCTTTCTCTCTTTCTCTTTCTCTCTTTCTCTCTCTCTTTCTCTTTCTCTCTTTTTCTCTATCTTTTTCTTTCTCTTTCTTTCTCTTTCTCTCTTTCTTTCTGCTCTTTTCATCTAAAACTCCAGCAGCTGGTTAGTCACAATATTTTTGTAGCATGAGAAGTTGGCCGGGGGCGGTGGAAGGGGGAGAGCCATCCAGACGGGGAACGAATCGTAGCCGGAACTCGCCGTTCAGGGGGAGGGGGAGGGAGGCTTAACTCTCCCAGTTGCTCAGCTAGAGATCAGGCGACAGAGTCCGAGAAGGAAGAAAACCTCGGAAGCTCCCGGGAAGAAGATGGGGGGAATGTGCTGTTAGAGGAAGGCTGACAGTGGAGCTCCAGGTAGTGTCCTTTTAAGGTCAAGCAAGGTGAACTCAGTTTTCTCTCTCGCGTGCGTGAGCCCTGAGCAGGGAGGCAGCCGTGTGCATCTTAGGGTGGGCATTCTGGGCTGCAAATCAGAAAGCTGCGGGCCCGATTCCTAGAGAGGCAACGAGCAGGCCTCTACCCTCCCAGTGGGGATCAAAGGGGTTGCGATCCTGAGCACGGGTTTTCTGCCCTTGGCACCTTTGGGGCGTGTTTACCTGGGTGGTTTCGGCGGCGTTTCTTTCTCGCCCTTTTGTACGTCCCCGTCTTCCCTTGCCGTTCTGGCGCGAACGGGTTCAGGACTGTACGCTAACCCACGTTAACAGTGTTCCAAATCCCTCTGTGCTGGCTGCTTCATCTCCCTTGAAGTGGCTAGTTAGGGAATTTGGTTTTAAATGACAGGTGAGACACTTTGGCCATCTGTGCGCACCTGTGCCGAGATTGCCCACAGCAGCTTCTGTGGCAGGTCGTTCCTGCCGATTTTAAGAACCTCAGAAGAGCCCTGCTGGATCAGACCAGTGAGGGTCCATCTAGTCCAGCCACTCTCACACAGGGGCCAACCAGTTCCCCTGGAAGGCCAAAAACAAGGCAGAGAGGCCAAGGCCTTCCCCCGATGTTGCCTGCTGGCTCTGGGATTTAGAGGTTGACTGCCTCTGAATGTGGAGGTTCCCATCAGTCACCAGGACCAGTAGCCATCGATAGACTTATCATCCACAAATCTATCTAATCCCCTTTTAAAGCTGTTTATTCCTCTGGTCATCACTACACCCTCTGGCAGCGAATTCCCCATCTTAATCACTGTAGTTTGTAAGTATTTCCTGTTCCTAAACCTGCTGCCCATCAGCTTCATTGGATGTCCTAGTATTTTATGAAGGGCAGCGTTTGTTTCGGGGACACCCCCACCCCCGGTGACTTCCGTGTCCTGGATTTTTCGGCCAGGCACCGATACCGTTATTATGCTAAATTAAAAGGTGCTCTCGAGCGTGATAGCAAAAGATTTTAAAAGGCCACTGGCAGCTTCTGCTTGTACCTGGTTAAAAAAATTAATCTAGGCTGAAAACCTGCAAGTTTCTCATTAGGAACAATCCCATACTTAAAGGTCGACGGGGGAGTGGGGGTGGTATTCGGAGGGGCCCGAGCTCAGTGGCAGAGCCTCTGCTTGGCATGCAGAAGGTCCCAGGTTCAATCCCTGGCATCTCCAGGTGAAAGGATCAGGTAGCAGGCGATGGGAAAGACCTCTGTGCTTGAGACCCTGGCTCAGTGGAAGAGCCTTTGCTTGGTATGCAGAAGGTCCCAGGTTCAATCCCCGCATCTCCAGGTAAAAGGATCAGGTAGGAGGTGATGGGAGAGACCTCTGTGCCTGAGACCCTGGCTGAGTGGCAGAGCCTCTGCTTGGCATGCAGGAGGTCCCAGGTTCAATCCCCACATCTCCAGGTAAAAGGATCAGGTAGTAGGTGATGGGAGAGACCTCTGTGCCTGAAACCCTGGCTCAGTGGCAGAGCCTCTGCTTGGCATGCAGAAGTTCCCAGGTTCAATCCCCGGCATCTTTGGCTAAAAGGACTGGACAGTAGATGGTGTGAAAGACCTTCATCTGAGACCCTGAAGACTGGCTGTCACAGGGTTGCCAGCTCTGGGATGAAAAATTCCTGGAGAATTTGGGGGTGGAGACCAAGGAGGCCGGGGTTTGGGGGTGGGGTGCAGTGCCATAGAGACCAACTTCCGAAACAGCCATTTTGCTCCAGGGGAACTGATCTTGGTCGGTTAGGGATCCTTTGTAATCCCAGGGGATCTCCAGCCACCACCTGGAGGTTGGCAGCCCTGGGCTGACAGGGTAGACTATCCTGACCTCGATAGGCCAAAGGTCTGGTTTAGTAGAGGGCAGCTTCACGTGTTGTTCTTTTCTGCATGTGCGGCTGTTCTGTGTCAAAGGGGTGGACGGCGATGACCAGCGAGTCTATCTGTAAATGGGCGAGCGGCTTACAGGGGGCTCCTTCCATCAAGTTGTGCCCACCTCCATAATTGAACACGGTCCCTTTAAGACAGATCAGCTTGCTTCAGGGAGGCGGGGCTTGATGCCCACTCCTCCCTTGGCGACTGTTCCTGGGACACCTCCCTGAGCTCCCTGCTTTTCCCTCCAGTATACAGCCGCCCCCCGGTGAGCTGTCCATGGTGCTGATACCTCTTTTGGACCCTCGCTAGATAAATAGGTACCACTTCGGTGGGAAGGTAACAGCAACAGTTTTCCGTGCACCTTGGTGTTCAGTCATGCCGGCCACATGACCACGGAAACGTCTTCGGACAGCGCTGGCTCTTTGGCTTTGAAACCGAGATGAGCACCGCAACCCTAGAGTTGGATTCGACTGACTTTCTAGCAAGGGAACCTTTACCTTTACCTTTCTCAGGAGCTGCGGTGGCTCAAGTGGTAAGGACGCTGAACTGCAGGCTGTGGAAGGTCAGTAGTTCAGCAGTTCAAGACCCGAGTGTGCCGCATGACGGAGTGAGCTCCCATCTCTAGTTCCAGCTCCTGCCAACCTAGCAGTTCGAAAGCAACAAATTGCAAGTAGATAAATAGGTGCCACTTCGGTGGGAAGGAAACAGTGTTCCGTGCGCCTTGGTGTTTAGTCGTGCCGGCCACATGACCACGGAAACGTCTTCGGACAGCGCTGGCTCATCGGCTTTGAAACGGAGATGAGCACTGCAACCCCCCCCGCACAGCAGCCGGAAATAGTACAGCGTGAGCTTTGTAGCTGAAGAGGAATTCAAAGGCAGGTCTTCCTGGTCCAAAAAATGTTCTCTGTCTCACAGTAAGACGAGGAACACCATACCACAGACTGTAATCACGGTGAACCATGTTATTACGCATCAGAAGTACCTTATATCAACAAAAAAAGTTATAATCTTCCGTTGAACGTGTAACATCAAAAGCTTTTGTTCATTGTGACTACAGTCCGTGTGATGGTGTTCCTCTTTATTCTTGTGTCGATTTGCCCCACTGGGGTCCTTGCTTTTTGTATCTCTATCTCACAGTTTGGTGTAGTGGTTGGGAGCGCGGACTCTAGTCTGGGAGAACCGGATTCGATTCCCCCTTCCTCCACGTGCAGCTGCTGGTGTGACCTTGGGTCAGTCACAAGTTCTCTCGGAGCTGTTCTCTCAGGAGCAGTCCTCGAAAGAGCTCTCTCAGCCCCACCTACCTCACAGGGCGTCTGTTGTGGGGCGGGCAAGGGAAAGGAGTTTGTAAGCCGCTCTGAGACTGCTTCAGGTAGTGGGCAGGGTATAAGTCCAATCTCTTCTTCTTCAGGGGCTGTCAGTTCTGTCATGCTGTAAAAATAACCACCATGTTAGTCACTGGTTGGGGTCCCCCCCTCAGATATCCAAGACTCTTGGCCAGTTACCCAGCTCATTCACCTTCTAGGTGAACATTTTCAGTCTTTGCTGTAGCTGTGTTACCCCCACCCACCCCGCCCTTTTCCAAGCACAGGTCTCCTCCCGAGAGCAGGCACCAGAAGGTACTCAACGCTGCCGTCCTGCAGTTATCCAGGAGCGTCAAAGAACTGCAAGAGGAGAACCAGAGCCTCAAAGCAGACCTGCAGCAGGTGCTGAGACGCTCCCCGGCCTCCAATAAAGCAAAGAGTAAGTTTGGACACTCAAAAAAGTCTTGGTTTCCTTACGTGGCTGGAACCACGTGTCATAGGTTGGCCACTACTGATTCCATGGCTATCTAAAGTGCACACACACACCCGCTAGGCGAAACCTTCAGCCCAGGCCTGTAGCCAGGATCTTGTGGCTTGTAGGGCAATTTTTTTTCTGGTGGGGCTGAAGTTCTCAGTGGAGTAAGAAAAGCCATTTAGCCAATAGGAAGCTGTGACGAGGATCGATCTCTAAACTGCAAGCAAAACTAAACTGCAAAAGGGTTGGAGTACTTTCCCTATGAAGAAAGGTTAAAGCGCTTGGGGCTCTTTAGCTTGGAGAAACGACGGCTGAGGGGTGACACGATCGAGGTTTACATGATGATGCATGGGAAAGAGCAGGTAGAGAAAGAGGTACTTTTCTCCCTTTCTCACAATACAAGAACTCGTGGGCACTCCATGAAATTGCTGAGCAGTCGGGTTAGAACAGATAAAAGGAAATACTTCTTCACCCAAAGAGTGATTCACACATGGAATTCACTGCCACAGGAAGCGGTGGTGGCTACAAGCATGGACGGCTTCAAGAGGGAATTAGATAAGCATATGGAGCAGAGGTCCATCAGTGGCTCTTAGCCACAAGGTATAGATAGGGACTCTCGGGCAAGGGATGCTCTGTCTTCTTGGTGCTTGGGGGGGTCAAGAGTGGGAGGGCTTCTAATGTCCTGGCCCCACTGCTGGACCTCCTGATGGCACCTGGTATTTCTGGCCACTGTGTGACACAGAGAGTTGGACTGGATTGGCCTTTGGCCTGACCCAACACTGGCGTCTCTTACGTTCTTAAGCTGTCAACCACTTTAGATGACAGTTCTCAGCTGCTGCAAGTCAGTCACTTCTGCCAGCTTCAGCAGCAATTCTGAGAACAAGCCGGCAGGTGGAGGGGATGACTTTTACAGTCAAGAAAGCTACCACTTGGGCAGGGCAGAAAACCTCTCTTAAAGGAGACCAGTTTCTTGACAGAGTTTGTAGGGAACCTAGAGGTCACCTACTCCAACCCCCTTGCTCAGTGCGGGAGTTAGTCAACTACAGCACCCCACTCTGCTGAAAGGAGTGCAGGCCTTCAAGGAATGTTTTGAAATGATTGAAAAAAGCATTTGCAGGAGAAATTCTTGTGGGGCTGTGCCTTTAAGAAAGGGGGCGGAGCCCCCCAAAAGCAGAACAGCTTCATCTGACTGGTCTACTGTCGTGTTGAGGGAACTCCCAAGAGGATGAATTTTTGAACAAACGGAAGCCTATGCAGAGACTGAACCCGGAATCGAGGGCAATCAGAGCCCACATTAAAAATGGCGTTGGCGGCTTCCAGCTGTAGATTCAGGACAGATGGCGTTCCAAAGGCAGGGTGCCACCACTGATAAAGACATGTCATCTCCCCCGGGGGAGGGGCTGTGAGAGTGGGGCTGGCGGGACTTTAGATCCCCGCTGGTCAGCGGGGTATTTTCTTTCAGAGATTTGTCTCTGACAAATTTTTTGTCAACTTTCCTCAGATTACACGGAGTGGAGCCGGCAGAGGCTGGTGCGGCAGATTTCGAAGCTGGAAAAAGTGAGTTGTGGAAACCGGCTGGCCACCTGGTTCACAGGAAAAGAACAGGGGTGGAAA